ATGTAAACATTGTAGTCTTACTGTATTTGGGAGGAGGGTGGGGAGGAAGTTACAAGAGGAATATTAAATGGAAAGGACAAGGCTGGCAAGTGACTAGGTGCAAAAAATGGATAAAGACCAGATGAGGAGCAGAGCTCCTGATGCTGAGGCAGTAGCTGGAGGCAATGGGAGCAGCCAGCTGAGGGCAAAGATAGTCCAACAACAGGATGTTCCCCCATGGCAGACAGACACTGTTCTGCCTGCTTCTGCCAGCCTGCCTGGCACCCCGCTCCCACCAAGAAGGGCTTTGGGGAACAGGGAGGATGGGATCTGAATTCTGGTAGGTAGCATTATCCCGTAGGACTAGGAAGCAACTTCCTTTGTGAGCAGGAGATCCAACAAGCTGTTGGGAGAGACAGCAGCATTGCGACCATAATGGGGATGCTGTCACTCTCTCCTTTCCCTTCCCAGTTTGGTTGTCTGTTCTTTGCCTATGCAGTAGTAAGCAGATGAGTCTTTGGTGCTACTGTGTCATCTTTCACTGCGAAGATCTTTTGTAGCAGAGGCACAATTTACGTTGTTGAAATTGATTGAAGGTATAAAATAACAAAGTTGACTTTGGCTCCTGTAACTGACCCTGCTGACATCAATACAAACAATGAAAGGCTGGTAAGAGGTGATCTTTGTCAGTGCACACTGAGTGCTTTGGCAGTGTGCTTAAAAGGTAAGGGTCTTTCACTTCCGTGTATGATCCACGCTTGTTTCATTGCTAATGTGTCAATTAAAGATGAGATTTTCTTGAGTGTAGTGTTTCATTAGTGTCAGTTCACAAGCTCTTTATATTTTCTGAGAGGCTTCCCTGGTTTGTTGCAGCAGTGTTGAAACTCTCAGGATTGAGACAGTGGAAGAGTGGTGGTCAGCACTGGAACCTAGTTGCTGATGCAGCCTGTAATCTAGTTTAACTCTGGTCTGTCTTTCAAACCCACTTTTGGCTTCCAGAAATCAATCTGATTTTTTCAGCGTGAAGCTGTGTGGAGCATGTTAAACAGGACAGGAATTCATGAATAAAAATAACGTAGGTAACAGTGGAGCCCTGTCCAGTTGTACCCTACAAAACTAAAAGATCTTTATGGAAGTAGAGAACATTCAACCTTCTGAACCAGTTCTTCCACGAGTTCTAGTCTCTACAGTCAACATTGTTAAGTCAACTATGATGTAGTTCTGGAACTTACCGTCTCCATTCCTCTTCAAGATTTGTGTAAGTAGAATTTACTTTATGTAATCCTTTTTATTGAGGGGTTACAGGTAAAGGACTTGAAAGTGGCTTTCCTGAAACTTGATACCAGGACACAGTGCTATTTTTTAGCAAGACACTCATGTTTGTTTGGTCTATATTCTAAATAAGGATTAGTGTCTATAGCAGAGAATTACTTGTACAGGAATGGATGAAACTAACCTGGATTATTTTGTCAAGGTTGTTATCTTTCTCAGAAATGATCCAGAAGTATGAGTCTGCACTGCTTGGAGTCTTCTGTATAATTACAGAGTGTGTTGGATGATTTAAGTGGAAAGCAGCCCCTCTCCACCTATCCTATAGCTTTTTTACATATCGATGATTATTAAACCCACTGATCTTAAACCCTTCTGTTCTTCAGAGGAGGAACACAAGATTTGTCTTGTTGCTTGCCAAAATCCAAAATGTTGTCCAACAAACAGACACTACTCTGCAAAGGGAAGATTTGCTGAGCTCCTGCTTTCTATCTTTCTTTCACAAATGGCATCTCTTCTCCAGCTATTTTTTTTTTTGTGTGCTTCTGATAAATAACTTTTTCAAGGGAAAGCTAAGTTTAACTATAACTTTTCTTGGATCTGTGGTTTACTGCATCCCATCCTAGGTCAAAAAGAAGAAATAGATGGTTTAGCTTGAGCATTTCCTGCCTCAGGTTCTTTCCAATGAACTGTGATTGTTAGAAATGTAGAAACTGCCAGTCCATCAAACCTCAAACCAAACCTATAATGTAGACATCTGATTTGATAAGAAGAGTTTCTCACGATCTTTGTTCTTGAGATGGAGGAAGTGGGTGGATTGGCGCACCAGCTCTACAGCCTTGGCATGCTAGCTGTACACTGTTGGCATGCCATCTGAACACCCTGAGCACGTATGCTCATGCACACCTCCATCCCACCCTACATCATTTATGTACCAGGTAGCTTAGTGATCTTTGAGTGACTCCAGCCTCAGTCAAGAAACATGTGGGTCATCCATGTTCATGTTCTTGCTCACTCCAAATGCCTCAAAGTTTGGGATCTAATGCTCTCAGCTAGCAAGAGGAAGATCTCTGTTTTTTTCAGGAACGAAATGCAAAGGTTTGAATTTGCCTTAGCATACATGGGGAAATTATTTAAAATCCTTGAAGCTTTGGGAGTGGAGAAAAAAACAGAGTGGCTTCAGATGCTGGGTTCAGTGTTAGACTGTTAGCTCTGTCTCTGCTTAACCCAGGACAACAGTAAATGCCCCCGTGGATTTTCATAGAAATCCTGGCATAAAGCACATCTTAAGACTCAAAGGAAATAAAGAGGATAATGATGGAACCAACAGACAGTCTGTCTTGGGCTTATTTGGGTGTCTTTGCAAGCCTTTATGGATATGCCTAGAGTTCTTTAAAGCTGGTAAGCGAAAGAAGTGATGGATGTAGTTTTTCAGTCAGGCTGATCTGTTTCTTCTGGTTGGTGCACTTTAGCAAGTTGTTTGCTAGGACTGGTTGATGCTTCCTGCCAGCTTGCTTCTGGGTAATGCTGATTCTACACAACCCAGACACTTCTATCCAAATATCCATTCTCTCTACAGTTGGAATGAAGACCAGGCAAGTTGATGAGCTGTTTAGATCTGTGCTCAGCTTTCCAGCTGCCTTGCTGGCAGGCTTCCCAGCTTTCTGGATGGCTGAGTCCAACTGAGTTGGGCTCCTGGGAAACCAGTTAAAAAAAATAGAAAAAATGTAATTTTGCACACTCTTCAAAGGGGATTGTCTGAGAATTTTCTTCCCCTGAGAAAGTAATCTTTTCCTCTTTAGCTTGTCATTACAGTTTGAAACGTAAAACGCTTTTATAGGGGGATATTTAGCTTTCCAGCCACTCTTTGCAGAAGACAATTATTATCTTTTTCAGGAATCATTTCCATGCTTTTTAATGGAGTATAAGGACAAAATGTACTAATTCCTGAAGAGTTTGCATAAAACTTCAGATATATTCTACACTAATTCTCAAAAGATCATAAAGAGCTAAGTGGTTCCTGTCAAAGAAAACCTACCTCTTGGGAGGTTTAAACTTCCCGTGACTTCCATGTAAGAGCCTTAGATTCCTGGGGTGTTTATTGGTTTTCTTTGGAGATAAGGGGAGGAAGTTCTGCTAATTACTTTTCTGAATACATGAGAATCTCACTGTGTCTCTGTAGGTGTGAAATTGTTGCCTGAAAAAGTACAAGTTTCACCTAGGGGTGACTGTTTATAGTTTCTTGTTGACAGTAACCACATTCCACTATTTACAGAAGGGATGGGTGATTCACCATATATTCAAAATGCCTGGTATGCTTTATTATTGAACATTTGCTGAAGACATGGGCCTCATAGCGTGCTTCATCATGCTATAACGGAAGTGTAGGCAATGTTCTGATTAAAATGTAGGAGTTTGAATTCAAACAACCACCTGTGTTTATATGCAAATCTCTTTGCAAGTCAGTGTGCAAAACCTGGGCAGTGTTTTGCAAGTGCATGTCCCACTGCAAGATTTTAGACAGTCTTCCAAGATCTTTCAGTGTGTAAATGACACAATAATAGTTTAAGAGCTTCTTTTGGCAAAACGAGAAGATTTTGACAAGCCTTCAGAAACTAGACACTGCACAATTATCCATTTTGAAGATACTTTTCTTCATACAATACTTCCTTTGCTGCAGTAGAAATCACAAATAAAAATCACTGCAGACAGAAAAGTTGGTTGACACTGTACTGTTAAATGAGATTCAGCTCTGCTTTTCTTGGGGTGGAGCTGAGGTAAAACCAGGATCTGAAGGGTTTTGCCAGGTGTGTCCTTTATAGTTTGTTTTTTTCCTTCCCTGTTGTTGTTGCATGCCAGCTGATCAAACTTGGCATGGTACCCTTAAGAACAAATGCTAAAAATGGCTTCTTTTGAAATTTTGACTATGACTTGTGACTAATTGCAAGGACTGCCTGTTTAATTTGGATTCTGATTTTCTAATATAAGGTTTTCACTGCCTTACTTGGACTTCTGTTTGTTAAACTCTGACCAACTCTGGTTTGCTTAAGACTAAAATGGAGCACTCTGTGAGAAATAAAGCTAAAACCAAATGTATTCTGTTTTAGTGAAAGCTAAAACAGAATCGAGAAATTAAGGCATTAGAAGAGCCCTCATTAAGAGTGAGTCTTTAAATGTCAGCTCTGTACATAACAGTGGTCCAGTGGGTCCCTTCTTCACAACTAAGGCTTAGAGATCCTGCTGCTAGTAAGGAAATGGGAAGGCTTCCCCTCCTCTTTGGTTTTGGAAACATAACACTCGGAGAAGATTTGTGTATTTGGCTTTTCCTGTATGAGGAGGAAAGGAGAACTCGTTTTCTCTTCTTATTGTTTTGTCATGCTTCTAAAACCTGGCTTCATTGTCACTGTTGGTGAAGACTTCATGTGACACTCCAGTTCCTTAGTTTTGTAGAGAGCTTACTATAGAGAAATATTAGTTCCCATTTTACCTGCAACTTCTGGTGGACACTAGTTTCCCAATAGTAAATAACACTAAGTTAGAACCATTAATGATTTATATTGTTTCATGTTATTTGTTAGCAGGGTAGCAAAATTTTCCAAGTAAGATGCTAAAATGAAGTTCCTTTCTTTTCATTTTGTATGTATGTGCAGCTGTTTTGTAATTAGGTCTGTAATCAGTCTTCCATGAACATATTTTCGTCTCTACTACTTCATTAATAAGGGAGATTTCATCCCTCAAACCAACGACTTGTCATGTCTTATCATTACAATGAAGCCTTTGAAAGCCCAGACTACCACTTCTCAGAGACACTGGAAATTGATAGAAGGTGAGTTTATTTAATTTTGCTGTTGTGACTGTGCCATAAGGAATTAAATTCTCTATAGCAGGATAAGCTTTTTCTCCAGATTTTAATTTATGGAATTCTTTTAATCCCTCCTTTATGCTTGCATTCTCAGACACAGATTTTTAAAGCTGTTATCAGGAAGGCAGCATTTAAAAGAAACAGCATGTTTGCTTTTTACATGTTAGATTTATTTATCAGTTAAATGTATTTTAGGATTTATAGCATAATGTCGTGGGTATTTTTTAGTTTCAGTAATTTTCACAATGTGCTATAGCCTTGGGTGTCCTGGTTTTCCAAGCAGTTATTCCTATTTAGGTAGAGTCCAAGCTAACTTCGGGTGGAGAAAAGTGTTAGTCTTTCTAATTCCGTTGATGACCAAATCAGAATTATAATGTTGGAGTTCTAAATACAAAATCCCTCTCAGTATCAGAGTTTGTTTTATAATATACTCAAATTTGATGATAATAGGTAACAATTTATTCAGGATATCTGTTGAGAGTTTTGGTGGCACTCAGGGTTTTCTTTTTTTTTGCTCTCACAGGAAGAGTTCTCAAAAGAATCTGTTCTCTCACCAAACCCCTTATTATTCTTCACTGCCTGGTTCCTATGGAGAACACAGTCAAAGAGGACAGAATTACCCTCCAGTGGCCTCCACGAGACATGGCTCTGAATATAGCGAAAGCTTACCAAGAGTTAATGTCCTAAGCAGAAGTCCACATGGAAATTCCACGGGTGTGTAATTTCTCATATGAACAACTTACAGAAACACTGGAACAAATACTGGCTTACTCTGTCCTGAGGGAGTCCTGCAGCTCTGGAAAGCTCAACTCTGAATATATTTGTATGTGGTGGCAGTGGGGTTTTTTTGCTTTTTTTTCCTAGAAGTAGTTCCAGATGTTTTATTAACAGGTCTATGGACTGTCTGTTGTATTAACAGGTCAGTAAATACTGACTTGTATGGACTGCATAAGCCGTTGAGTACTAGGATGTACACCTGAGTGAGATATAGGAGTTTTGTTAGTGGGATATATCGCTGTGTGTGTAGTAGAGCTCTGTTTGGTCAATAGGGCTGATACTCTGTGTGTAAGTAATACCATAGCAGTATACAACTTTCTGTATAATTCTGATTTCCTTCAACAGATAATCTTTCCTTTGAGCCTGAGCCAGAACTGGCATACAGACCACCTTCTACCTTCCATCTGCTGGATCGCCCCTATACCTGCAGAATTTCCAGTGTATCAGAAGGTAAGAGATAAGCATTGTGGTGCATCAGAATACTGCATGTCAGTCTTGCCCTCCATAAAATAATAAATATTTAAAACCCTTCTGGTTCAGGTATGAAGATCTTCACATAATAAAAGGAATCATAAAACATAAATTCTGTTTTACTATCCTACATAGCTGTAGCTGAAATTTTCTTTCTGAAGGTGATGATCTCTGTTTCTTGAGCAAGGTATAACACCTACTCATTTTAATTCAAACTCCCTATAAGTGGGTCAACATAAAACAGAATTAGACAGTAATCTGAAGAGACTCATTGTAGGAGGAAACAAGGAGAGGATAGGGTGCATTTTGGAGACCCTTTTTAGTGAATTTTTCACTATGTTGTCTCTGTGTAAATTCTAGACTATAATAGTAATTAAAGGTTTTTATTCCTTAAAATACAGGGGGTATGGCATAGTATAATCTGTGTTCTGTTTTAGGCTAGCATAGTAGTTTATTGTTCATGTTTTGGGTAGGAACTGTTCTTTCCGTATCGTGTAATTTTTCTGTTACAATCAGCCCGGTTCCTGTCTGCTGCTTCTGGAATGTAATTAAAACTTCTTTTCTGAAATTGTTACCTAGATGCATTGAAAGAACAATCTCGCCCTGTGCCTGAAGTGAGGGATTCTTGGTGTTTTTCTCTTTTTCATCTTTAAGAACATGGTCTTTAAATTATATCTGATTTGACAAAATCCTGTATTCCTATTAAAAAACAATTATTTTATTGGCACCTGGAAATGCCTCACTCCATGAGTGACCATAGAAATAGGACATTTCCAAACGTTAACGATCATGCATGGCTTTTAGTACCTGATAGGAAGGAGGGAGTGCATTTCCAACACAGTCACCTAGAGGATAAATCTCTGGGTGCTGGAAGTTCAAGAAGTACCTCCACAAGGAGGCAGAGATGTTTTTTCTTTTTCTGTTTCTTTTTAATTGCTACAAGGGAAGTTGGCTCAAAGTGGAAATGGTACTAACATCAGGGAACCATTAGAGCTAAATGGTAAATAGGGTGAAGGAGCCCACACCAAGTGCGTTAACTAACAGGTGCATCAGTCAGTTGGGGCCTTCCATGCCGGAGGGTTGAGGTCCAAAGGGGGAGGTAGCATTGCACAGACTGGCCATTAGCTTACTGGGAAGGTCAGCAAGGAAAGCTGTGGCTAAACTCATCTGCTTCATAGCTGGAAAGTGAACACATTTAAGGAATAGAGTCACTTTTGTCTGAATAATTGGATGAAAGAAGGTTGAGAGAACAGTTGTGTTTTGGTCCCAGGAAAATGGGAGTCTGATATGTATAACTTACTCAGCATGATTGAGTGTGACTCTGAAAGAATCCCTCTGAAGTCAGTGGAAGGATTTTTAAAGAAAGGGCCTGTCTTCTAGGAAGAAAGTATTGAATAATCAACGTGCACCTTTATGAATGGGTTAGATGACACAGTTTTCTGTAACAGCTGAAGGCTGGCCTCAGTACCTGTTTTCCAGCATGTATCTGAAAAATTGCATATGGTTGTCAAGCATGACCAGGAAAGAAGCGAGTGTGGGAGTGTATGTTTGCATGTGGGTGTTGAGATTGACAGGTATGCTTTTAAGTTGTTTCTGTGAAAATTAAATTTGAATTTCTTAAATATATTTGTCAGGAGTATCTGGGCTTACTAAACAGTGCATGTTATTTAGATAGCTTTATTCAGAGAGGCGACAGAAAACCACCTGATGAGATCTTCATGACTTCTTCCAGCCTGTGTGAAGCAGATCCAGTGTGCACAGAAGGTAAAAGTTTAGATAAGTGGCTCAATATGAAATAGCATCTTGCACAAGGATGGTGTGGTTGATACTATTATAGGTTTATCACCAGAACTGCATGTACAGTCTTTCTGTGGTTATGGGAACAACTTGGGTTTGTGTTAATGCTAATGATTAATCTTTTATGCTTTTCTAGCACACTAAAATCCCATGATAAATGAAGCACAGTGCAGTGTGAATATGTGTTAAATTGTAGAAAGAAAAGCTAAACTCTTTATTAGAATGTTTGACCAGCTAATGGATTGTTTTCAGCCACTGTTTCTGCAATTAGCTTCAAATTCCAACTATGTGAAAACGGTCTGATTGTCAGGTAATCAGTTCTGTCTGTTTCATAGGTAATGCTAAGTTTGGGTACTAACATCAGCTAAAATTATAGAATAAATAAAACAGAAGTTTAGCTTTCAAGTCAATATGTAGCATCATAGAAATGTAACTATCAAGCACTGCAATAGACCAGAATCTTGGAGTTTGTCAGTGTTTTGTTTTCCTTTATGTTGCAGCTCCTTGTATTAACATTAAACAAGCACCAAACAGGTGATATTTATTTTTTAGCATTCAGTAGTTTACTACTTACATGTGTATTAGAGTATTGATGGAGCTGAGGATATTCTGAGGAGTGTTATTAAATCTCAGAACTTGCTACACTTCGGGAGCAGTGAAAATGGGGAATGTTGTTATATCCATTTCAGATTTTGTATAAGAATTATTGTATTTTCCCAAAATTTTGATTTTTCATGGGTTTTATGCAGAGGAGAAGTTCGTTGAAAATCTTGCAAGTATGTCGATCAGTGAAAGGATTAAAACAATCCAGAAAATGCCAGAGACCATGAAAAAAAAGAGAGAGATCAGGTAAAAATAAAAGTTTATCTGTTTAGTTTTACAAATACTGTACTTCCACCATCTGGCTATCAAGTATGGGTGTTTGCCCTCTGCTCAGCTTTGGTTTTCATTTGAAAGCTGAAAGTACTTCTTAATGCACTTTTTAAAAGTTAACATCTTGCAAGGGAAAATAATTTAAAGATTATTCACTGTCCTTTCTCTGGATAAGAAGAATCTCTCATGGTAGTGTGAAACAGAGTATCAAGGCCTTGAGACTTCATTATGAATGCTGACTTGCAATTTCTTTTCAAAGGAAATTTGAATGTTGGCCACTGAAAATGGAGAAGAGACCACATGGTCTTAACCATCGTTCTGTCTCCTGACAGAATATATTTAAGCTTTGTGCCCAGAATGAGTTAGTGAAGGGGTTAGAATATGCTGTCATAGCATGGACAAGAGCTATGGTGTTAGCTAACAGAAACAGGACCATCAGAGTATCTCCATGTTTTATTAACTCTGTTCATGCAGACTTGTGTGAAACTGTATTTGAAGCAGCTTCTTTGGCTTCTTGTTTTAATTATAACCCATACTATAATGCTTGTTACCCCCGTCCTCCTCTTCCACAGAAATAAAGTTCTTAAAGAAATAACAAAGAAATCAAGGCGCCACAGCACTCAACTTTCCTGCTGTACACAGTGTCTGCAGGGAACAGTAGTGGTAAGTGTCAGAAACTTCTGTCAGTCACTGTAGAGTAAACCACTTCAGCAGCAATGTTATCACTGTCTCCACAGGCATTTGGTATGTTGCTTTATTTTACTTATAAAGAACCAATTAACTGCTGCAGTGTTCATTAATAATGACTTGCACTTAGGAACACCAATTAAGCATCTTGTGGTGCATGTGGGGGGGTAATCTGTTCTTATCATCAGAACGGAACTGTAGAAGACGTGAGGCTTTATTACGTGTGTGAGTCCCATTTAAGACTGCTTGCTGAGATTCATCTCTCTCTCCTCTTTTGCACTTCAGTTATTTCGGCGATTTGGAAATAGCTTGTTGGAATATTTTCACCTACTGCAGTTATGGCACAAGACTCTGAAGATCATTGGTGCCGAGTTTGGAACAAGTGTTCTCTCTTATTTTATTTTCCTGAAGTGGCTGCTAACTTTCAACATCTTCTCATTCCTCATAAACTTCAGTTTCATCACAATCCCTCAGTTTGTTGCAGCAGAACCAAATAACCTTTCATTCACGGGTCTGGAGCTGTTCACTGGAGGTGTAAGTATGTAACAGCAGATTTGTATTAGTACTGTGTGCATCAGATCTACTTTAAAAACTCACAATAGAGTAAAAAGTTAGTATTTCTTATTAAGGGGTGGAGTTAGAATTTCACGTTGACTCAGAGTGAGATGAATGGAGCTCACTCTGCGTTTGTCTCACTGCTAATGATTGCTGTGTTCAGCAATATTTCAAGACTTTCATCATTCTTTCAGAAAGCAGTGTTAAGAGACACAAAGGAAGCCAGGCCTTCCAAAGATAGCTACAATAGTCTTCAGCAGAACATTTTTCCCATGCTGATTTCCCTCTGAAAATACAGTGCTGGCTTCCATATTTGATCCTGTGAATTTTGCTTATTTCCAAAGCTTTATTCTTCCAAGGAGCACACAGATCTTTCTGTGGCAACCTGCT